GATGGACTTAAGTATATGAGTGACCAAGGTGTGCGAGTTTAGTCCACCGGCATCCTCAGCGTTGCATAAAGTGCAAACTACGGACTTATGTAGCAAAATTGAATTATAGGCTAGCCCTTCTACGATATACAGATCTGCTAAAAACCGAGCCAGGTTCTGGCCAGCCGGCTGGAAGGGGTTTACCCCATGCTTCGTGGTCCAAGTTAGCCATCTGTTCCAGGCTACTTTATAAGTCTTCCTCGTGGACGGGCGCCAAGAAGACTTTAAGAGCTCTACCTGATCATTATTCCATTGTTTAAGGTTTTGAGACCACCCCCCCAACACTTCCATATCTCTAAGGTCATTTCTTGGACCCTTGGCGGTGGCAGACATGTAACTGTGTCTATCAGGTATAGATGTAGGTTCTGGATCACGAACGGTGGGGCTAGAGCACGGGCTTTCACGTCCGCTCTCCAGAAAACTTGTTCCCACCATGGTACTACCAGAAGGTATATTCCCGAGGCCGAGTTGAGATGTGCTAATACCTTGGGAACTAGGTAAGGTGGTGGAAAGACCCAGGCCAAGGGATAGTTCCATTTCTGAGAGAAGGCATCGTGATACATCGCATGGTTGTCGTTCAGGTCCAGTGATACATAATTCGCTACTACTTTTGCCTGTTGCGACGCAAACAGGTCTATCACAGGAACTCCGAATCTTTGAAATATTTTCTCTGTACACTGTGCTAAGAGGTGCCACTCCGGTGGGTTGCGGTGACGAGATAGGTGATCTGCATGACAGTTGAATATTCCTGGTAAGTGTTGCATCTTCAGACTTATTTGGTACTGGTCTAGATGATGAAACACTTCTTTTGTTAGTTGAAGTAATGGAGCGGACCTGGTCCCTCCTTCGTTTCGCAGGAAGGCAATAACAGTCTTGTTGTCGCTTTGAACTAGCACTGTTGCCCTGTACAAGAGCGGACCCCGACTTTGCATTGTAGTAGTTTAGTTTAGTTTAGTTAGTTTGCACCTTCAGTATAGCTAGCATCTCCTTTTGATTGCCATGAAGGTCTTTCTCCTCTTTGCTCCATGTTCCCGACAGTGCAAGGCCATCGAGTTGGGCTCCCCACGCCAGGTCTGATGCATCTGTAGTCAAGAAGTGTGTCGGCATCGGGAGGTGGATCAGAGAGGTGCGGTGACAATTTTGCCCCCACCAATTGAGTTCTCGTTTCACTTGTATAGGTAGAGTTACACTGACAGAGTTTTCTTTTTCTTTCTGATTCAGGAATACAAGTGTATCCCGAAACTGAAGTCGACCCTTCGGTACGGCGACACTGGCAAAGTTTAATAAACCTACAAAACTTTGTAGCTCTTTTAAAGTCACCATATGCTTGTGTAAAAGGTTCGACACGCTTTCTTTTATTTTTGAGATCTTTTCGCGTGGTAATGATCTCTCGTTCAGCCATGGGTTCCATTTGATACCTAGAAAAACCAAGCTTTTGCACGGTAGTAGGACAGATTTCTGATAATTTATTTGCCAACCCAGGTAGGTTAGACGATTTAATACTATTTGCATATGTCCTTGTAACGCGTGATAGCTTTGATGCGCTACCAGAAAATCGTCGAGGTAGACCAGTACCCGTATACCATCGTGTCTTAGAGTCTCGGCTACCCAATTCGTTAACATCGCAAAAATTCTGGGTGCTGTACTGAGGCCGAAGGGAAGGCACGTCATTTGAAACAATTTCCTTTTGTATATGAGCCTGAGGAATCGCCTGTGAGACCGAGCTACGGGCAGGTTGAAATAGGCCTGGGAGAGGTCTATTTTGCAAAGCCAGTCGTTCTGTTGAAGAAAGTCTGGGACTCTGAATACGTTGATCAGTTTGAACGGTTTTGTGTAAACAAATTCGTTCAGACTCTTTAGGTTGAAAATGGGCCGAGCAGAGCCGTCGGTCTTTGAAATGAGAAACATTGTTGACAGAAAACTTGGTGACAGTTTTACTTCCTCTAGCACATGCTGCGCTACCATTTGAGAAATGATAGCTGACATCGCCTTGGATTGCTTCGTTGCGAACGAGCTTTGTAGATTGGGTAGCATGAGAGGTGGTTTTTTGATAAAAGGTATGCGATACCCTTTTATTATGCGAAGCAGTATGTTCGGTGCTCCCAGTTCCTGCCATCGATCGACATAGACTCTCAATTGGCCTGCTCGGAAGTTCTGACAGTCAGAACTTACCTCTCTTACCTCCCGTGTAATATTCACTGGTTGACATTCTCTTCCTGTTACTCCCGCTCGTATCTCGTTTGTCTTTATTATGGTTAGCTCCTCGTGATCGAAAGGATCCACGAGTGTTGGGGTTAGATTCTCGAACCAATCTTTGGCCAGAGTTGGTTCTATACGAAGGCTGGTGATATCCACAGCTTTGCGCAAGCTGTTCGTGTCCCCAGCCCTGCGAGGGCTGAGAAGCGCATGGCCTATCGTAGCATGCTAGATGGGTACCCTGCGGGGGTACGTAATGATGAGCTGACCCCTGCGAGGGATAGCGACTGGGTTTTTTAAATCCTGTTTGCGAAACAGGTTTATAAACATGTGCTTTGTTTGGGGGTAAGAATGTCTTCTTAACCCCTCCCGCCTTCTCTAATGCCAGTGATAGTAACTCAGCATTAAAAATGTGTTGATAGGACGGCGGTATTTTGCGTAAGGTAGCCTTAACAAGTGGGTCTCGAACGTAATTTGTTATCCCATCTCTACGCATTTGGATCGTTTCTGCACGATGACCACAAATAAGCTGAAGCATATCCGAGTAGACTTTATTATAGTCCCCATCGGCAAAAAGTTAAGTGATTTTGTCATGTAATTGATCCGCTGTCACATTACCTTTGCTCCTAGTCCAAGAGACAAGGTCACACATACTTTTTTGTAGCTGATCACGTTGTTTAAGTGCACAGAAAGTCAAGGCACCATACGTTTTATCAGCGTGCGCTAAATAGCGTAGGGAATCGTAACTTTTTATTTCCTCGTTAACCTCCAGTTCAGTAAACCCAGGCGTGTGGGTATACATTTTCTGTACCTCCGAGTACCTAACCTCACACCATTCACTTTGGTCTAAGCGTTGAATCTGTTGTAAAGACTTGAGAAAATCACTAGGTGCCTTAGGAACAGAGGGCTCCTTCAGTTTTACTTGCAGGTCAAATTTAAACTGTCGATATTCCCGTAATGCTTCGTCGTCATTACACATAGACTGATTTTCAAGTAAAGAAATTTCGTCATATTTATCTGCATGTAAGTCTACCGACCCGTGAGGTGACATTTCCGGTTGACTGTTTCCTACACAGTTATCACCGTGAAAAACGCGATTACGTAGTTCACTAACTTCTTGTGATAATTTGAACAGCAATTCGTCTTTGCGACTACGGTTCCAACCTTTATTTTTATGGTAATGACGGCGCTGTCTTTTCTTTCTACGAGATGATTTCACAGATGACGAGGTTGAAGAACTACTAGTAGAACTAGAGGTCGAATCTGAATTCGATCGTTGGTCTCGACGCGATTTAGACGTCTTATTTTGTAAGCCAGAGGGTCCCGGCACCTCTCTTGGCTCGAGATCATTTGATTTCTCCATTCTATTTTGACGAAAATTCGAGCTATTGTATTACGCAGACCTCTATCTAGGATGATTAAACACCAAGGAAAATTTAATAACTAAAGAAAGAGGGTATTTTACATATGATACACGTTACTATAACTTCTAAACGGGGCTAAAGTCTAACACCGTTTATATGAATAATACTTCGCCCATTATAGCAGCGCACATTATATTGTTGATTTCTTTTTTTTTTTTTTTTTTTTAACAAGTAAATGTACTCACAGTTTTGTTGCGGGTATAGGTGTATCACACGTTCACAATACTTATTTCTAAATGTAACTTAATAGCGATCCTGTTATAGATATTAAGTATATTTTTTAACGAAAATTCTGCAACATTGAGCAGCCAACGACTGCTCTGAGCGGAATTTTAGACGCCAATGAAATATAAAACTCTACCGAGCCTAAGCTGTCATCTGACAGCGCCACCTGGTGGGAGAAAGCATGTGCGCGAAAGAGATAGACATATATAAATAGCACTAAAGAGCAAAAGAGAGGGAAAATAAAGCGGAAGTCAAGAACGCCACTCTCAATCTAGTAAGCTTCAAATAACGGTCAAGTGTTTAATAGAACGTTGTGTATAGTTATAACTGGACTTCAGATTTAAGTATTGTATATTGTCAACATAATTGTGTATGTGCTAATCTGTTATCTGTTACTGTACCTATTAGATAAAATAAAATAATATATATATATATATAATAACTAGTATGCGATAAAAAACATAACACCATTAGGTACTAAAAGAAATGCTCTATTACTAAATTATAGTCATATATCATTATGTAATAATATTTCGAACATCTGACATAACGCCATCTAGTTTCAAACTAAGCATAGCTTGTACTATGAAAGCTAGATGATTGATAGAATAACTATTTTTTTTTATTTGTAAAGACATATTATACATGTAAAACACCCAAAACAAAAACAAATATTTGCAGATCATACAAACATTTGTCGAATGAACCCGAAACTGAGGTCTCGGGTTTGATTCACAGCAGCAGTCGCATAAACTACCACTGCGCCACCGAGGCAGTCGAAAAATACAAATTGACCACCGTATTTGTTAGTAAAGTAGCTCAATTTAATTCTAGTTTAGCTATTTTTTAAATTTTTATAATAATAATATTTTTTTTAACATCTGAACAAATCCTATTGGTCTAGTAGTTAGTGGCCTTGAATGCTACGCCAGAGGTCGTGGGTTCGATTCCCACCCAGGACAAATAATTGTGTAATGAGCACAATCATTTGTTCTGTGTCTAGGTGTACTTTATATTTAATATGTATGTATTTAGAAATATATAAGTATGTATATCGGCATTCTGGTTACCGTGTGTAAAATTTGTGAAAATATTATTATTATTAAATATATTTACCTTAATATTTCAGGTGTGGTGTGTGGAATGAATTCGGCTTCTTTCTCTTTGGTATACATTCTGTAACAGTGACCTGTAAAAATAATTTCTATATACCTAACTGCAAACAAGCATACTGCCTTAATTTTTTCTGTATTATGTTTAGAAGGCCGCGTTTTAGGATTTTTAACCCCCTTTCTCAAACATTCCATCTTCATCTGTCAAGAAGTTTGCCAGATTTCGTAATTAGTGATTAGGTGAGTGAGTATCCATTAGTTCCATCTCTTTTTTTTGTATTTTTAATTTTCAGTGCGTCACTTTGTCATTCGATTATATACAAGACAGATTTTTTATTTTGTTGTTTCGATACGAGTTAGTCGCTACCAGTTGTCAAACTTTAACAAATAACATTGTATGTCTAACTTTTCTTTCTTAACAATAACGACAAACTTAATGCAATAGTTTAGTTAAGATAAATTAATTGTCAGAACTATACCAGGTTGTACTCTTCCAGCTCGACCAGTTCTCTGCTTGGCACCTGCGATCGATACCCAAACTGTTTCTAAACTTGCAGTGCCTAGGAACAGACAAACAAATATTAATTCAATACAATATAACTATTATAGTTGTATATTACCTAAATGGCCAACGCGTCTAATGTATGAAAGATCTAGTGCAGAAGTTCTCAAATTTTTCGTCATCGACAACTTCCAATATTTTATGGTTTCCGTGGAGTCCTTGCTGCTACATTTATACATGTACTTAAAATTTTCATTTCAACGTAGACCCCTTCCGAGTTTTCCGTGGACCCCTGGGGTCCACCTGGTCCACTTTGAGAACCACTGGTCTAGTGGTTAGCGTTTCCCACATTGCACAAAAAATTGTGTGATAAGCATGAACGTTTGTTCTAAACCTCGGCATAGCATCCGTCGTTTGGAGGTAAGTAGTTATTACCCTCCCCCCTCGAACTATCATTTCTTTTTTTTATGGAATACGGACCAAGGTCACCTGATGGAAAGCGACTACCACCGCCCATGAACGCTTGCAACTAGATATTGATATTGCCATTAGATTTAGTACCTGTACGTTCCATGATCCTGTTCTCCTTATGACTGCCGGTATCTACGACGTAGACGACATCGGGTATCGTAATCGATGTTTCTGCTACATTCGTAGCGAGAACTATCTTACGTATACCTGGAGGTGGAACTGAGAACATTCTTGATTGGTCCTCCGTTGATAATCTATAACGAAAAGAATTCTAATTAATAACGGAATACTAGAACATAATGATAAGACAAAATTTATTTACAGTAATCGCAAAAAAAACCGTTAATAACTTTTGGCGACGGCGGTCACCTCGCCGCTTCCTACTGCGCTGAGTATTGTGGGCTCGAACCTCACATAGGGCAGGCTAGACCGCAGTAATACCACACATCACATTAACAGCCTTTAATAGTCCACTGCTGGACATTGGCCTCGCCTTGGTTCAGAATACATAGTGTCATCATCCCTATTCATCCCGTAGGTGTAGTAAGAGACGACTAAGGGAGCAAACTACGCCGGACAACAGTACTGCAAAGAGAAGGAAAACTTGAAACAAATCGTATACCAACCCGTCTGGCTAGCGTGGTTTACTCGTAATAGGATAAAACCTTTCTAAGGAGAGCCCTATGTCCAGCAGTGGACTATTAAAGTCTGTCGATGACCAATCTGCTTGTCTGCCCCCTTTAACATAAAAAAGATAATTTGAACACCCACCTTGAATGTACAGGCAATATCATATGTACACCAGACTGGCTGTAGAGCTCGTCCAATATCTGCTTGGTCTGTTTGATCTCTGACCATCCGGGGAGGAACACCAATATTGCACCTTCCTTTTCATTCTTGTCGACAGCTTGTATTACATCAGCTACCTACAAAACAATGTACATATTTTTTTAAGCATAGCGGGCGAGTGCCCAGCGTGAGCCTATTTCACATCAACTCGATCGTCACGGTGACTGCGTTCGGCGATGCGATTGGCCTACACAGAACTCTTCACCAATCGCATCGCTGAACGCGGTCACTGTCGAGGATCAACTTCCTCGACAGTGACCGCGTGTGAAATAAACTCACACTACGCCCTCTGATGAGGAAAGAGTCATTATATGACCATACATACTATGCATGTATTTCAAATAAACCTACATCGTAGTTCTAGAACCCATAACACAAGCTATTTTTATATCGTCATCATCATCACGATTATCAGCCTATCGCAATACACTGCTGAACATTGACGTCTCCCGTTGCACGCCACATAAATCGATTTTGGGCTTATCGCATCCAGCGCAATATGTTCCACCACACGACATTAATTCATATGTTTATAGGGGGCCTGGGTACTGCTGTTTAATGTATGTTCAAGAATATTTTTTTAAATCGGGAGTGTCATGGGCCGCCTCGACCTTTGTGATACCACGGCCTCACAGCAAACCGCTGTTGAGCAATTTTTTTATGCTAATACATACGAACGAGAGGTAGGTACACCACCAACGCACAAAACACGAGGGTCCTAATTAGGACCACTGCGAGCGAGCGCACGTACTCATTACATATTATATACAATGCCTTCTTGTGTATTCCAAAAGTGCACAAATTACGACAAAAAGGTAAATTAATATAAAGGAATATCATACCGTAAATGTATGTTTTGTTCTAAAATGCATTAATAGATGTATGTACGGTTACAGAACAAATATTTTGTGCGTGCAGTATGAATATAACGTATCTTCATTAAAATATCATTGCTAGTTATCGAGTGAATAATGATACCGAAGACCAACCCACCCCTATGATCCTAGGGGGGGAGGTGGTCGCCTGATAGTACCACAACATATTTATGATTTTGAGTTGCAGGTGTCCTTGGGCAGTGGTAGTCACTTACCATCAGGTGGTCTGTTGACTTGATATAAATAAATTAAAAGCATGGCCTCTGATACTACGAGTATACTATATTATTCTAAAACGATCTACTGAGTCCGTAAGACCCTCGCGCGTCCCTACGCAGTCCCCTCAGGGTCCGTGCGCTGACAGGTCTATTCCTTCGTCGAGAAACCGCGAGCATAATCTAGTACATTTATCTTTAATCGCTACTCGAATATATAACTATCTATCTCTTTCGTCCAAGGTGTAAGTAACAGAGATGTATCACATTGTTATATACCTCTTGACAGTAGATTTGTGGTCGGCTATCTTGTTTCTGACAACTTTTTAGAGTATTCGACAATTTCAAAGCATATTTCTTTTGAATATCTTCCAGGTGTGATATTTCTACTGGAAACGTTCGCCCCGGTACATCTATTACAGGGCATTGGTCGAAGTATCTGGAATAAAAGGCCAACATACAATACAGGTTATATATTAAGGCCAAGATGTAGTATTTATTCTTAATCCGATTCGAATTCGAATCGATTAAGAATACGGAATACGGAGTGTCACCATCCCTTCATCCCTTGGGTGTCGTAAGAGCCGACTAAGGGAGCAAACTACGCAGGAAAACAGCGCTGCAAATCAAATCAAATCAAATCATTTATTTGTGATACATGGGTTACATACAGGTGTTCATTACATAATTATTAATGATGTTCATTCCATGATCTGCCATTTGGGCATACAAATTATTAAGCAATATATTGATTAATATTTAAAATTATAGTATTTAAAAAAATATGTACATATATTAAAATTCTGATTATTTGATAAAAAATTCATTAAAGATTATATATAAATTCTATTATTACTGTAGGTCATGACATACGCAAGAAATTCAGCAAGAATCAACGCCAACATTAAACTTGGACATGAAACATTTAAAAAAATCGAGTCTATAAAAATTCATCAACAGAGTAATAGCATTTTTCTGTGAGAAATTTGAACAATTCATTTTTAAAGACATAGATGTTGCCACATTCTTTTATATCGTTAGGAATCTTATTGTAGATCTTTGTGGACATAGCAAACACACTCTTCCCAAAGAGGGTAGTTCTATAGTGACAGGTAAGGTTATTATACAGGTGACTTCTATTTCGCGATAACAACTCTAATGTAAACAGTGACGGATTATGTCTAATAAACAATGCCATTTCAAAAATATACAATGATGGTACTGTAAGTATTTTTAATTTTTTAAAATAATTCTTGCAGCTGTCAGTTCTTTTAAGACTGCACATAGCTCGCACGCACCTTTTTTGACATTTAAAAACTCTATCCCAGTTGGTAGTAGTTCCCCAGAATATGATTGCATATCTAAGTCTAGAAGCAACATTACTATGATAAGCTACGAGTAATGAGTTAAGATTGACCTTTTTTGCTAGCATGTATAGACTATAAGATGACTGTGACACTTTTTTACAAACGAAATCAATATGACTTTGCCATTTCAAATTGTCATCTATGTGTACACCGAGAAATTTTGTTGTAGTCGTCAATTCAACTTTTTCACCATTAAATTCTATTAGAGTATGTAAAGTGTTTTTTGTTTTTTGTTTAAATTGCATTAATTTAGTTTTATCGATGTTAATTAGTAAATTATTATTTTGAAGCCATTGAATTATTGAATTTAAACTATTATTTATAATATTTTCATCATAGTATATAACAGTACAGTCATCAGCAAATAGTACCATACGATCTGTAGTAGATTTTGGCAGGTCATTGATATAGATAAGAAAGAGCAGTGGGCCCAGAACACTACCTTGTGGAACTCCATATTTTATGCTTCTACTCTTGGACTTATAATTTATTTCATATTTAGTTTTAGGACAGATTTTGACAATACTTGTGATCTGAGTTCTGTTACTAATGTAAGACTTTAGTAAGTCCAAAGTGTTGCCCCTAACACCATACGTTTCAAGCTTACTCAGTAGTATACTATGGTCCACGCAGTCGAAGGCCTTTGACATATCCATATACAAAGCATAGACAGGTTGTCTTTTATCAACTCTAGGATATACTAAACTTAAGAAATCATATATAGCTAAATTTATGGACATATTTTTACGAAAACCTTTCTGATCCGGCGTAAAGATATTATTCCTTTCAAAGTAGTCATACAAGTTATTGTATATGGCTTTTTCAATTATTTTAGAAAATATTGGAGTCAGGGCTATAGGCCTGTAATTTTTTAGCGCGGTTTAATTATAGTTGTTTTTAAGACAGATGGAAATATTCCCTGTTCGAAGCACATATTTATGATACAGCTCAGTATAGGTGCAATCATATGAGACACGGATTTTATCACCAAAACACATATGTCATCAAACCCGGTACTCTTAGTATTATTTAATTTTTTTATAATATTGTGAATTTCCATAGGACTAGTCGGATTCAGAAAGAATGATTTCGGTGTATTATACGTGCATGTAGAGATTATTGGGATATTATTACCGTTACTGCTAGTCTCAGGTTTGACTATATCTGCATAGTAGTCATTCAACAATTCAGCGATTCGTTGAGGGTCCATAATTTTATGTTTGTCTATTACCAATTCACTTATAGTCTCAGGGGGAAAATTCTGTTTTTTGCCATTAATTATGTTCCAGGTGGCTTTCGATTTAGAATGTAATAATTATTCTGAGATTTTTGAGTTAATTTAATAATTTTGGAATATGTCAGTGAATATTTTTTAAAATTCGATTTATCTACGCTACTTTTTGATAGTCTATATTTCCAAAGAAGAGAACGTTTACGCCTACTACATTTCTTAATACCACGTGACATCCATTTTGGTACAATGGTTGTTTTATTTTTAATTTTAAGTATGGGAAAGCACATTTCGTAAAATAGTCTAAATGTATCATAAAATAAGTTAAAAGCATCATTTGCATTCTTTGTCTCAAACACTTCAGTAAATTTTAACTCTTTAATGCACTCTTTAAATTTTCCTAAATTGTCTTTAGAATAATCGCGTTTAAATGTAAACCAGTGGTCAAATGTACAGGTCTTTTTGACTGGACATGAAATATACTGCGCCTTATGATCTTTGTTCTATGATCTTTTCTTATGATCTCCTCTGCGCCAAAGAGAAGTAAAACTTGACACAAACCCTACACCAACCTGTCTGGCCAGCGTGGTATAGTAGGCCAAAACCTTTATAAGGAGAGGTATCTAGGAGAGGTCTATGTCCAGTAGTGGATTATTAAAGGCTGTTAATGATGATGATGAATTATTTTGATACTGATGAATTTCGTAATTTTCAAAGTAAGAAACACGACATAAAAAATAGCTTAGGAATAAAGTAACACGCACCTTGTGAACACTCCTGTGTCTAAAGTAGCGCTCATAATAAGTATCTTTAAATCTGGATTAATGTTTAGTGCTTTTTTAAGCAGAAGTAGAGTGACATCAGTGTTGACGTCACGCTCATGAGCCTCATCTATGATGACGTGGGAGCAGCCTTCCAGTCCTGAAAGGTAGGGTTTACTGGTTAAGTAGGTAATATTTATATACTAACGAAACTAACTTCAATTATTCTGTTGCGAGGCCTACGTCTGTTTGTAAAACTGGTAACATGTTAATGCATGCTTACCGAGAACACGGAATATAATAGGTGGTACTATTACAGAAGTTTAACTTTTCAAAATCATTTATGTAAATATAAAGCGACTCTCGCACGCAATAAAGTACAAATTAGCTCGCACACCATAATCACTAGAAGTCGCATCTCTTTTTATAACTCTTATCTATTCTAACGATGTTAGGGTTTCATTGCTTGGTCTGCAATATCTTTTCGAAGTGCGAAAAACGTCACTTTCGGATCCTTGATATTATTTAAGCCGTATACCATTCTTCAACATCCATTTGTCTTCATTTGTATCAAACTGCTATATTGTGATACGAGCTTATTGGGCAAGGTATGGTCTCCTCTATGTTCGTCGGCCTCATCGAAGAAGCCACGTACTTGCCGCTTCATATAGGGTATCAAGCTACAAGTACGTTACACCATAGACGTGCCAACTAACTGCTACTAGTACGTACTGTAGTACTGCGTACTGTGACCGCCCTGATACTTACCAGGATTTGTCTGTAATCTTCTTAACAGAACACCAGAAGTGCAGTACAGTATTGAACCACAGGGAGGCTTCGGTGGCTTGGCATGGAGCCTCACTTGATAACCCACAGTGAGTCCTACCTGAAACATACAAGACTCTCCATAAATTTTAAGTTAGTATTGATGACGCAGTCGAGGTAAAGCGGTTACAAGGGTCTAGGACAATTACAATCTCAAAAGTAGTGGTGACACATGTATATATAGGAAGACACCACGGGAAAGATTCGAGGCAGTGCATCGAATGTCTTGCTTGACCGTGTATATATTGAAGTTATTAACTTGAACTCTCCATGTGGTGACGGACTAAGAATATGGAGGTTCACCACCCCTAATCATCCCGTGTGGGTGTCGTAAGAGCCAACTAAGGGAGCAAAACAACGCAGGACAACAGCACTGCAAAAGAGAAGGCAAATTTAAAACAAACCCTATACCACCCCGTCTGGCCAGGGTGATATTGTGGGCCAAAATCTCCTTTCTAAGGAGAGGCCTATGTCCAGCAGTGGACTATTAAAGGCTGTTGATATTTAGTGATAGAATAACTTGAACTCAAATAGTTTTTAACATAATTTTTAACTTTATAGAACACATTGACTGCACGGATGGCGTTGTGGTTTTGGTCACCTTGCTGCTTCCAACTGCGCTGAGTGTTGTTGGTTCGATCCTCACACGGGACAACACTTTGTGTGATCCACAACTTGTTGTTCTGAGTCTTGGTGTTGTTAGTGTCCCTTTAATGTATGTTTGTAAAGTCCCCCGCGACACAGGATATATTTTTGTTGTGGGAGTTGTATTAAAAAAAAAGATTCTTTTAAAATTTAGATTTTTGCTCTATGCACATAATTATGTTATAGGTACACCTAAAAAGGGTGAAAAAAATTCTTTACGTATTAATATTACACAACACATTCTAAGCCCAACAAACTCATTCATACCCATAATAATAACTTATAAAACACATCTCACACACGGCCACCTGATCCAAACCTAGGTAAAATCTGTACCATGGTAACAAGACTGCTGATAAACATATCTAAATATATATATTTTATAGATAAATTAGGCACAGAACACATGATCATGCTCATCACACAACCATTTGTCAAATCCACGAACTTAGCAGTCTTGTTCACTAACCACTAGACCAACAGGCCCGTAAATATTTAAGCGCAAGGAACTGAACCACTTCGCCATGTTCTTCAATTAATCTTCAATGGTATATTTACCTCTTCCCCCAACTCGCTAGCGACTCTCTCGGCCAACCCTATAGCCGCTACCCGTCTCGGTTCTGAAACGATGGCCGTCGTCTGCGCGCCACAATGCCTCAGTATTGCCGCAGGCGCACGAGTGGATTTACCGCAGCCTGCCGCACCTACTATCACCGCTACTCTACATTCTTCGAGAGTTGAGATTATTTTTTCTCTGAAAATAAGTCATATTATTTATTGTCACTTATACTACTAATATTATAAATTCGAAAGTGTGTCTGTTACCCCTGCACGTTGAAACCGCTTAACCGATTTAGATCCAATTTGGCATATAGTTTGAGTCCCGGGAAAGGACATAGGCTAGTTTTTATCTCAGTAATCATCCATTAAGGGGGATGACAAGGGGATTGCAGTTTGTAAGGGTAATCAATAACCGCTAAATCGATGTAGGTGAAATTTGGTATAGAGATGGTTTGATTCTTGAAAAAAGACATGGGCTACTTTTGAACCTTGTCCCCTATTATAAGCATTTCACCAAATTATAGTTGGCAACATTTTGGGTATTTAATAAGCCTTTGCCTACCCTTTAGGATATACTTACATACTTAAATACAGCGCGTATCGTATGTCTCTAAGTGTATACGTAAGTCTAAAGAAATTTAACAAAACCTTAATATTAATAATACCCTGTAGGCTGCATTAAATCGCGTCGTCCATAGTTACGATTATATAAAAAAAAATGAAAAGCAAACTGTTTCATTTATCTATAACGTTCTTGTACGCGAAAGTTTGGCGCAAGAACGAAATCGAAAGTGATCGAGAAAGCGTCGCTGTGACGTACACAACGTCACACTGACGTATGATACGTCACTCGACTCTGACGTAGATACGTCATTAAGACGTTTCACGAGAAACAGCTGTCAATTGAAAGCGAGTGTAAGAAAGTGAGATTTCACTTTCAATTTTATTACGTGACGTAGATTGCGTACACGTCACGCGGATTGCATTTTATTATTAAAAGTAGAAGCGTATCTACCCTATTTGTGTTATTTACATAATAAAACCATATTATATGCAACGCAATGCTCCAATTGACTATAACTATAGAACTAGGTAGATAAACGGTACCCACGTTGTTTATATTTCCAATAAATATGTTTATGTAATAATAGTAATACCAGATGGATTTGATAATTAAGCATCATAATGGTCATGAAGAATATCTATATATATTTTCAAAATATCTTGCCAAGGAATCATTAGGGATTTTTTCATAGATATTTAATTAAGGCGTTTTGAAGTCTTGTAAGATTTTCGTCCTTTTTGTTCAGAACGAATAAGTTTCATTGAGTTTTGCACACAATTACTACATAATATTTTCATCAGTCTAACTGTGAAAAGGTTGTAATTGTTGTTGTTATTACTTTCTTTTAATCTACTCGTACTTAACATATGCAGTGTTTTTGAAACCCCTTTGCGTTCTGTTAAAATAAAAGAAAAAATTCTAGCCCCGTTCCTTTACAAGTAAAATATACTTTAGCGACAGTCATTTTCGTTTTCGAACCGCATTCGAAATTGGAAAGTGTTACATGCTGTACTCCGGTTAGTTGAAAGGAGGTCGCGATGTCAGTTTATCTAGTATTGAGGTTAGAGCGGTACTCACTTTTGACTTTCGATTACTTTGGTTTGGAGAGATTTTTATGCGATTAGATATTGGATAATAAGTATGGTTTTAAATTTAGAATATTCTTGTTTTATCAGGTTTAGAAACATACTAGGTATTTAGGGACTACTGTTTATATGATAATGCAATATCGTTGACTGAAGAAATAGTGTACGTAGGGTAATCTTCAAAACGGCTAGACCGATTTTGCTAATATTTTACTACCAGGTAGCTGTCTATTTTCATCTCAGAAAAAACCTTATAACATTTTGCCCGTTCCGGGAATCGAAGCCGAGGGAAATGGACTGCAGTCGCGTACCATACTACACACCACTAAGGGAGCGCAGTCGCGGGTACCAGCTAGTAGGCTATATAACATCATCCTACGACTTATAGAAGCCGAGTATCAATGAAAATTATTGCGAAAACGGGGAAAATTTATTCATTTTGAGAGAAGCACACGAAGTTGCGCGCATCAGCTAGCTAGACATCATCATCATCAACCTTTAATAATCCACTGCTGGACATAATCCTCTCCTTAGAAAGAAGGTTAGTAACAAATTTTTGTATGATTAATAATAAAATTGTTGTACAGTATGTACAACAGCAGTAGAAAGGTTAGAATTCGCTCTTTTTAATCCTTAACTCTGCCTCCTTGTTCTTCTCTGGAATAACAATTCTTTACATAATTGTCCTAAAAATCAACAATCATTTCGTTTACCGCCATAACTTGAACTAATATTGTACGGCTTTCCGTACCATGATACGTTAACATATATTGGAAGCTTGTTTCAATGTAATTTTTACATTAGTTACTATTGTTTACAAATGGTATTCTAGTTTTTTTGTTGTATGGTATTATGTATATAATGGTATTCTAGTTTTATGTGTATAAAAAGAATTTCTCTCACGTATATACATTTCACAGTAAATAAAAAAAAATATAGGTATGGTGCGTATATATAAAATTACTGTTAAAAACTTTAAGTACCTAACATGTGCTAGGTAATTAAATTATACCACATAAAACTATAGTACCCAGTATATATTTTGATCTGTCATGGTAGAAAAGTCTATAGAATGACAGTTCAAGTCATATTAGTCAATGAAAACGGTCGAAATTCGACCTTCATTCTTTTACAAATAAGATATTAAAAACAAAAACGTATTCATAACGTAATAATTGTCTTTGTCTTCTTATTCTAACCTACATTTTCGAGACTACTAATGATGTCAGCTAATCGGCTCCCGTTTCATAACCTATATTACTCAAAAGGTCACCCGCGCCAGGTCAAGGTCATTCATTGAGTTTAGAGGTCGCGGTATGGTCGCGCTAGCGAATGTAGGTCTCAAGGTCTTTTATTGTGGGTTACGGGACAACTGGGCCAGTATGTAGGACGAACTGTTACAAGGTTTTTGGTATTGGAACGGTTAAGAGTTCGTGGGTCGAGGACACTGAAGTGTGTTGGGCTTGTGTTACTGTGTCAGCCCGGATTTGACAATGAGGAGTATGTAGTTTAGTTTTTTGGTAGGAATTCTAGGGTATTGAAGATTAGGAAGTGTTAATTTGAAATACTAAAGTGAAATAAAAAAATAAGGTTTTGATTGTGCCGTTTCAAAAGGAAAGTAGGAACTTTTACTTGGATGGCTGCCTGTTAAAGCCTTATTCTCTGGAACGCTTAGCGGCAATTAAGTTAGAAATAATATGTAATTATGTGTGTATACGGAAAAAAATCTTATAGGAATCCACATGGAATTATGGCAATTGAGAAGCAAAACTAGGTAAAAAGTAAGGTCTTACGAGTACATCACAAGTAAAAGAAAAATTGCAATCGTTAATTTGTTTTTATATCACATAAAACTTGTACCTACTTAAATTAGCATTTGGGTAAATGGGCTGTGTCGTATATCGATGTATAGTGGAATGTTTTTAGAATGGAAAATTTTGTCTTTTGGATAAAACGGGCATTATCTTCGAGAATCGATATAATATGGAGGAACGCGTATCTACATGCATACGGCATATACTTGGACGCGCTGGACTCGCATTTGTGAGCTTTTTTAACAAATCTATAAATGATAATGATAAATGCCTCCTGCTGGCGGTAGTGTCATACTTCGGGTCGTTGATCTTGACCAATATAGGTTAGGCTGGAGCCTGTATGCCGTCTGTATGGACAGGCTGACTCAAAACTATGGTCCTTTCCTCAAAAGGCCTATCCAGACCCTATACTGTACTCGCACAGTTTTATTTAACTTTGTTTAAGGACTTAAAAAACACCTCTGTGCTTTGTTTCGGCGTTTCTTCCCAGAGTGAGTCTTAGGAAATGCCGGCTCCTTCTAGCTATAAAGTCCGACTTGTAAAAATATCTGAAAAGATTTACTTACAGAAATAAATATCATTTATCATTTAAATGATTTTGATTTAAAAAGACGACTCCCGCATTACGAATGCATCCTGTGTCACGGGGGACTTTATAAGTATACATGAAATGGACACAAAGAACACCCAGACTCAGAACAACAATTTGTGGATCCCACAGTGTCGTCGGGATCGGACCCACAACACTCAGCGTAGCAGGAAGCGGCGTGGCGACCGCTTAAACCACTACGCCATCGGTGCAGTCATAAATGATAAAACTGTGCGAGTACAGTATAGGGTCTGAGGTAGGGCCTATACATAGTGATATAGGTAAAGATATAGATGAAGGCAACGAGAGAGGATGCTAGATTGTTCCCTCTATCTCTTTCTCGTCGAGCTCTGTGGTTGGCTGGAGAAAATGATCGATTAAAATGGAATACTGAGTTGTTTTTTTTTATCTGTGTTTTTATTTTGTTTTACCAAACTCTTTTTCAAAACTATGTGAATTCAAAACGAATATTGAAGCATTGTTTTCAATCAAAACTGGTTCACTGTCCTCTGACCAAAGGTAGTTTTCACACGTAAATTTAATTCTACCCTCATTCAATTTCATTTCATGCATATTCTACATTTTCATTTATTTAATTAATTTTAAATGAATAAAAAGGTAAAACGTATATTTATAGATAATGCTTTTATTTTATATTTTAAAATACAGTTAAGCTTGATGTTCCAATTTTAAATAGTTTTTTTTTACAAACCTCATATTGGTTACATTACGAGTATGTAATTCAGTCAGTGTTCATCAGTTGAAGTTATTCGGTTTAAACTGCTGTCGTAAAGAATTCCTCCTTTTTTTCCGTGCGGATATCCTCTCGGATAACAATTACTTTGCTGCTTGTGTATTTTAACATTTCCATGTCTTTTAAATGTTTAACTTTACTTTTTTTGAGCTATGTGTTTCGTATACCGTATGTTAGAATATTTACACCCAATTTGTTTACGAAATTTGTAACTGCCGCCTGTTCTACGATCAAAACATCAAAACCATGCCTAATTCACGATAGCCAATCGCAGCTTAGCTAAACAGAGACAGGGGGAACTATCGGGCATCCGTCTCTCTCGTTGCCTTTGTCGCTTCCACCCACAGGCATCAATCAAAGCGATGCTGCAATTGTAGTCATCCCTAAATTTTGTCCGCCCAAATTCCCGCCCCAGCCACGGCATTTTCCGTAGCACAGCTCCTTCACAGTACAGTTAGAGGGGCACAGTGGACAAGAAAACAAATGTAGCAAATAAAAATGCTGTATTGCGGCGTTCTCGTTATCATAATAAAACAAGCACCTATATTAGTCCTATAGGAAGCGGCGAGGTGACCGCTTGAACCACTACGCCATCCGTGCAGCCAGTCAGTTGTTTAATTATAAACAAAATCATACCAAATATCAGCGCATTTGTATACATGCCTGCCGTCATGACTAGAGCAATATGGCGTCCAACGTTATCATCAACGTTACGAAATTTGAAAAGCAAACGCCAACGCCGGACAAAACTTAGTGTGAAAAGAGCCTTAAGTTTAAAAACAATTGACATACCTGTACTCATCTATAGGAAGAGGCGTTAATTCTTCATCATAAGCTTGGAACTTCTTTTTCAATGCGCGGTCTCTTCTTTCAAGTGCTGCCTTAGTCGGTGGGTTTACGTTTCGTCCGTATACGGGATGAACGCGCTGTTTTATTTCTATGTATGACAAATTAAAACGTCATTGTTGTATGTTTAAATACAAGAAAAGTTGAGAACTAATTGTGAACCGTGGTTGGTGAGCCTTAGATTTTTTTCATGGTAGAGGGGCAAACGAGCAGACGGTGGTACCTGTTGGTAGGCGACTATCGCCACCCATGGACATTTGCGACTCAGGGGTTACAAGGGCGGTCTGACTTTTGCTGTAGTCGGTAGCGAAGCACACTTTAAAAAGCAACGGTCGATTTAAAACGATTTCTAAATTATTTACTATACAAACATCCAATATATATTTGTGTGGTGACGGATTAAGAATACAGTGTCACTATTCCTATTCATCCCGTGGGTGTCGTAAGAGCCGACTAAGGGAGTAAACTAAGCATGAACAACAGCACTACAAAGAGAAGGAAAACTTGAAACAAACCTTATACCAACTCGTCTGGCCAGCGTGGTACAGTAGGCCAAAACCTCTTTTGTAAGGAGAGGCCTATGTCCAGCAGTGGACTAGTTAATTCTGTTGATTATCATAAATATGTGTTAAAAAAAACATTATAAATGATACTTGCCTGAAGTATCTTCTTGTCTGTCTAATTCATCTTCATTTTCAGAAAAATCATCTGCAACAATAAGTAATATATATTTACTAATACACTATATTAACATCAATTACACTGCGCAGAGATGAAGATCCTCTGGTGGGCAGGTGGTGTAATGGGCTGGATCATATCAGAAACCTTCAAAAATAGACCTATCCTAGATAAACTACAGTGAGCCGTCTGCGGTGGTTATGAGGCGACCATCGACAACATTACCAGAAAAGTGCTAGATATCGAAACTAAACCCCGAGGACGAGGAAGAACCCGAATCACATGGAACTCCGTAGTAAATAAGAACCTCAAAGAAGCTAAGTCAAGAAAGAGACAACCCAGGACCGAGCTGCCTGAAGACACATGATACGGAGGGCCGACCCCAAATAAAATGGTAAAGGGCCAAATACATATATTAACACGTTCCTTTTTTTTCAATATTCCTAATTTTATATACGAACAGGAGAAAAGATACAAAATATATTTATTCAAGTGACGTTAAAACTGAGTGTATCCCAGACTCAATTCTTCATAGGCATTACTCAAAAAAATCTGGTCAAGTGCGAGTCAGACTCGCCCACCGAGGGTTCCGTACAACGTTGTAGGTCCATATTATAAATAGTTCAGGAATCGAGTCTCGCAGTTATTGCCGAGCTTTTCTTGAAATTCAGTTTCCAAAACCTATAATATGGCACCACATTCACGCAACGCCAACTAGTCCCAAACTAAGCAGAGCTTGTCCTATGGGTACGAGATAACAAATACTTATTTTATTTGTTTTATAAGTGAAATTGTACCTCGATGATTGATTACTTTAAATAGGAACTATAATAATAATAGTTTCACACATCTCACACACCGCTGTCTGATCCCAAACTAGGCAGAGCCTGTACTATGGTAACCAGACCGCTGATAAACATACTTATATATTTCTAAATACATACATTTTACATAGATAAATTACACCCAGACTATATATATTTATTACTATATTTTTTATGATTGAATTCAAACGGATGGGGTCTACCAATAAGAACGTCCTGGTTTAAAAATTGAACAAAACAAACAGTTTTTTATGAAAAATGCATCCGATTGATTTATTTGATAGATAATTTTATGCAATTTATGTTTTAAATAATATATCGGTCAAATGACCGCCGCGGCTCTTTTTGCAGACGGTCACCCGCTCACGCCAATTTTCGATGACGCGGTGCACCATTTCGGCCGGTATGTCGGCTATGGCTCGTCGAATGTCACGAATTGTAGCTGGATTATTGCTGTACACTTTAGATTTAACGTAACCCCAAAGAAAATAGTCTAAAGTAAAAAAAAGTAAGAAAATAGACTCACCAAACTTTCCACGCAATAATTCCATGTTCACTCGAGTAATGTGAGGTGGTGCACCGTCTTGTTGAAAATAAAGGTCGTCTGCATCAATATCATCAAATTCCGGAAAGAAATATTCGGTTAACATCGAGTTATAGCGCTCGCCATTCACAGTAACAGGGTTTCCTTCGTCACTTTCAAAGAAGTACGGACCAATGATTCCACCTTACCATAAACCGCACCAAACTGTTATTTTTTGCGGATGCAATGGTAATTCATGAACCACACGTGGATTTGACTCACTCCAATAGCAACAAATTTTGTTTATTAACAAATCCATTGAGCCAGAATAGGACTCATCTGAGAAGATGATTTTACGATGAAAATCGTCATCGGCTTCCATCATTTCCAGTGCATAATCGGCAAATTCACGACGGACACAATGGTCGGATGGCTTCAATTCTTGTGCCAAAACCATTTTGTATGTGTGCAGGCCCAAATACGCCAGGTGGTCACTAGAGAAAGCCCCAACTCTTGTGAACGGCGTTGAACTGATCGATTTGAATTCGCATCAACACTGGCCTGAACGGCTGCGATATTCTCTTCACTACTAGCATTTCTTTGTCTCACAGGCACAGCAGTATCGTAGAGAGTGAATTCACTTTCAAATTTTGTTATTATGCGATTTATAGCGCGCACAGAAGGAGCACTATGACGACCGTTTTTTGCGCGAAGCGCTCTTATTGTAGCGGTAGGAGAACGCGAATTTGCGTAATAACTTTGGACAATTTCCAAGCGTTGGTTTAAAGTGAAACGTGACATGATAAAATGGCAAACCTTACTGAACACAAATGTCAAGAGACGTCAAAGATCCATCATCAAATATGGCCGCTATGGGCTGTCAAAACCAGGTCATCCCTATTGGTAGACCCGTTTCAGATTTTTCCCTGTACTTGTAGTACGAGTATATGACGATTTTACTTGCTAAATTTTGTAATTCTAGGTCAACGGAAAGTACCCTATAAATTTTCCCTTGTGTCGAAATATGCTTTTTTTGCGCCATAAACGGCCGTGTATTATTGTCACGTTAACTTAGAAGTATGATTATTTAACAGCTACATGGGACTGTAGACCTGAATATATTGTTAATAATTTAAATTCGATATATCCACGCGTTCCCAAGGATCTTGACTGAAAGACGGACAACAAAGTGATCCTATAAGGGTTCCGTTTTTCCTTTTGAGCTACGGAACCCTAAAAATGAGCTATGTTGCGCAGAAATAACTTTAAATGTAGTTTATAGTTTGATAGAGATTGCCCTGGGTCTTAGATCTTCTTTTGTACAACATTTCCATCCATACTTAAAACTACACTACACTAAACAGATTTAAAAAATTCTCTCACCAATACATATCTACATTATCAGCGAGTAACATAGGCTACGTTTTCCCGCAATAACCGAGATACACGACGACGGAGGTGGGGGCAAAAGCTAGTGGTTAATAAAATGGTAATATCACGAAAAGTAAATACAAACCTTCATCAATAGTGGAATCTTTTGTTAACACAGCTGGTGAATGTATCACTTTATGTTTGGATTCCTTGAACGTTGTATCGTAGATGTCCTCTAAAACAAAAAATAATAAGTCAAAATCTCTCAACTCAGCCATTATAATAATAACTTAACACGTCTCACATACGGCTGTCTGATCCCAAACTATTTAGTGCCTGTACAAAGTAACTAGACTCTTGATAAACATACTCAAATATTTCTAAATAATAAACTTTACACATCTCAAAAACGGCCATCAAACAGAGCCTGTATTATGTAACCAGACTGCTGATAAACATACTTTAATATTTCTAAATACATACATTTTATAGATAAATTACACCCAGATACAGAACAAAATGATTGTTCCCATCACCTAATTATTTGTCCTGAATGGGAATCGAACCCACAACCCCAGGCTTAGCAGTTAGGATCATTAACCAACAGGCTCATATAATCGAATAATAGATTTAAACAAACCTACTTATCCCATCCTGATATTCCTTCCATATCTTCTCGATTCGTTCTTTGGCCTTATCACTTATAGATAACCGTATGGGCTCATTCAAGGTGGTTTTTATTTCTTCTAGAACATTCTTGTCATATATAGGCTCTCCTTTACTGTTTATTCTCCGGTTGATGAATAACCAGTGGACAGCTTGTGTAGCTGCTTTCTCTGCAGCTTGCCGTTTTGATAATGCTGTGCTGTAATGTAATTTATATGTAATCTATACAAATAAATAAAATTAAAGTGTATGTTTGTAATATCAAAATAATAGGGTCTAAAAACCAGTTAAAATATTTTTTGTCTATTTGTTCAGGTAATCTTCAAAATAGCTGGATCGATTTTGGCAATATTTTACTACCAGGTACCCGTCTATATAAGGTAACTTATAAAGACAGCTACCTTTTGTTTTTTCTCAGAAAAACCCTATAAAAATTTGACCGGTCCGGGAATCAAACCCACTAAGGCAGCGCTTTTCAAATTCCGCGCAACGAAGTCGCGGGTACCACCTAGTTCATAATATAATAATAACTTGGAACATCTTACACATTGATGTCTGATTCCCAATTAGACAGAGCCTATGCTATGCCTGTACTATGGTAACCAGACAGCTGATAAACATACTTATATATTACTAAATACATACATCTTATAGATGAACTACAACCAGACACAGAACAAATGATCATGCACATCGCACAATATTTTTTCTTGGTGGAAATCAAATAAATGGCAAATTGTTTCATAGTTAGTTAATTTTATCAAACAAAGTAGTCTTTATTCCTTTGTCAAATATGATATGTAGTTAAAAATTAAAAGTATATATGTATTTACATCAGTTGTTTAGTACCCATAGTACAAGCTCTGCTTAATTTGGGACTAGATGGCGTTGTGTGAATGTGGTACAATATTATTATTATAATAATATTAATATATCGTTTTATTGTACATCAGGTATAAATATACAACAATTATCTTAAACTAAAAAAATAATGCTGGCATAAGTTAGTTTACTTTTTTCATGATACTATTTATACAGCACCATTTAGTCCTAAATATTTTTTAACATAAAACATGAGTTATATTTGTTTTTTTTTATAAAACTAAGTAAAAAACAACAAAATTAATGACATATTTGTAACTTTTTGTTTTCTTTAATGTGTGTATAATGAAAATATGTATATGAAAAAAAATCTGTTTAGTATAATTAGATATCTATAATTAATTTAAAAAAAGTATTTCACCACTTCAATGCACCTACATTATCCCACCTTAAGAGTGGTATTTTTTGTTCAAATTTGAATGGGACCAGACGGGATGTATACACTTCCCAGTAAAAGGAAAAAAAAACCCAAATCGATTTCTAAATAAAATACTAAGGTAACAAGACATTACATGAAAAATAATAACTGAATTCAGATCACCTTTTTTTTTCAAGTAAGTTAATGACATTAAAACATAAAAAAACTTTGTTTAAAGAACGCACCATTCAAATTTCATCTTTTCAGGCCAAACAAATACATAAGAACAGGTCCAGTCGTTTTGTTGTGTCGGTTTCTTCCGTCCTCTAGGCGCAACTGTGTTTTGTTTATAATGTATATCAAATACTTTACTAGGTGTTTTAGCTGTGAAATTGTTTAGTGTAACACGAGGTAACGGAAAGATATCTGTGATTTTCTTTACATCTGAAAGAGAAATATATGTTTTGATGAATAAGTAATCATTAAATATAAATAAACACTATCATGATTTATTCTCAGTGTTTATTATAAAATAATTATTATAATTATTCGTTCGGAAGGCGCTTGAAAAGTTCGTAGCCTGACAAGGAAAAATAATAATAATAACTTCACACATCTCACACACGGCAGTCTGATCCCAAGGCAGAGCCTGTACCATGATAACCAAACTGCTGTCAAACATAATTATATTATAGCGCACCAACCTGCTCGGTACCCAATCACAACAAACTGATTAATTGAATTGTACTGTGATGAATCCCCAAGGGCGTCTTACTGCACATTATCTCTTCATTATGAAGAATAATTAGTGTGTTATATATATGTATATTTCACATTTTTTAAATTTATGTTTGTTAGTTGCATCAGTAGGTAATACACCTACTAAGTAGTTGTAAGTATGTAAGAAATAAAAATTTTTGAATCAATTTATTTTTATACTAACTTTTAAACTTTCGCGTTCCATGATAATTAATATTATTTAACGGGAATTAACGCGATCTCTTATTTAGGGTATTACATACCTCTGGTTTGCCTGACGTTTCGACCAGGTTGCATGGGTCCTTGTCACACTTTGTGTACCGTAAACCTACTCATACGGACAGATACCTACACGCCACGTCTCATCATCACCCCCGGCACTTGCAATCTGTTATGACTTCACTCAAAAACAGAGCTTACGATCTCTGTGACCCTGAACATTTAGAACAGGAGCTAAAACATGTTCAGGAGGTACTCAAAGGTAACGGATATCAAGTGAAAGGAGGACGGAAGCAACCGAAAATAAGACGCAAGTATCCAGAAGTGAACAGGCAACCGGCCTATATGCCTTATGTCAAGGGAGTTACGGACAAGATCGGGTCTGTACTAAAGAAATATTCCATTCCGACAGTATACACACCAGGCATAAAGGTTCACAACATCGTCGGCACACCGAAGGATACATTGCCACTACAAACTCCGGGTGTTTATAAAATAGACTGCAGCTGCGGAAGCTCATACATAGGCCAAACTAAGCGGACTATTGCAGAAAGGGTCAAAGAGCATATCGCTGCTGTGAAGAACCGACAGACGAGCAAATCAGCGATTGCAGAACATGCACTCGATGCAGGCATCAACCACTGGATTGAATTTCACCGCACGCAAGTCCTCTCCACCGAACGTCACTTTTACTCAAGAGTTGTACGTGAAGCGATTGAGATTAAAAAGCATAAAACTTTCAATCGGGAAGATGGTTTTAAATTATCTACAGCGTGGAATCCAGTGTTAAAAAACATACCACCTCGCTTTTCTGCGCAATCGGTTAAACACCAGAATAGGGACTCATCGGTTTGCTTACAGAATAGGGACACTGTTAGTGTGGTATGTGACGGTACATGGCGACACAAAAATAATATCGAAAATGTGCGGGTAGATGAAGAGCCTTCTACTTCACGGATTCGACGACGGAGGGCGTGCGCCGATGAGCCAGTCAGCCTGTGACCACGGCCGGTGCAACCTGGTCGAAACGTCAGGCAAACCAGAGGTATGTAATACCCTAAATAAGAGATCGCGTTAATTCCCGTTAAATAATATCAATTTATTTTTATCATATTCTCCTATGAGTTGAACACAATTTTTCCATCAGCTTGACAATGCTTCTAAACCAGTTTTTTTTATCTAAGTCAAAAATGCACCAACAGCAGATTTGACCATCTCATTTGTGGTACATTTTTGACCTCCTAAGTGGTTTTTAAGATTTGGATATAGATAATAAGTCTAATGAAGCTAGAGCACATTCAATTTAAAGTCGTTCTCTACAAAACTAAACCGTTTTCTTTCATTTTTTCTCTAATTCCTCACAAGAGATTGTAACAGTAACCATTTTATAGTGTCACGATTTTAAATTATTTTACTATAATTACTCCCAAAGAATCCCAGAAAGCTGAAGCCATTATTTTTTCGGATAAAAGAATGTTTGCCTTTTTTTGAATAAGAGATGTGGTCTTTTCCATTGTGTGGACTGTAATTTTGTCATCATCAGCCTATTGCAGTCCACTGCTGGGCATATGCCTCTCCCATTGCACGCCACTTAGATCGATTTTGGGCTTCTCGCATCCAGCTCCTACCAGCCATCTTGCGCAATTTTTGCGTAATTTTGTCACTGGAGTAAATGTAACCAGGTCTCATTCGTGGTCACAACTCTTCTAATAAATTCTTGTGGCAGCAGCCTCAAAGAGCGCCAAATATTTGCGAGAAATCGTCAATCAAAATCGTTTTTGTTCAATTGTAAGTGGCCCAGCTATCCAGCGTGCACATCTTGGTAAAGTGTAATTCATTGGTGTTTATGTGATGCGTTCGTGGAGTTAAGAAGCCAACAGTGTCGGCAAATCATGTAATATATTATTTCAAGGTTATTGGCGGTGGTTCATGTCGACCACTCATGTCGGTCTTCTTCAATGCCCTCACGACAGGTTGCATTCCTTCACACATTAAGTCATGGAAGCATATGAAAACGCTGATTTTGGTGTTAAGCGTGTTAATTTCTTATTCGAGTACTCAATCACTTCACAATATTAGAATAATTCCATTTTCACAAAACGTCACTACATGGTCGATTGCATCGCATGAGCATTTGTTTCAAGGAATAAAATTTTATACCGCTACTATTGAATAATATAGATTTAAAATGAGGGTTGTCTGAAAAATATAAGATGTTCCAAACTATAGAGTATGTTTGGATACGAACTCTTCAAATGCCTCTTGTTTTGTTTATACCATTTTGTTTTCCTGAAATTGAAAAATTAGACTAAACTATTAAAAACTATTTGTCTATTTACGAATTTAAACTTATTTACATATAATTGCTACATCTTTAACTCCTAAACATCTACAAAAAACCATGAAGCTGATAAATTTCTTTCTTTCAACATTCTAGATTGAAAGATTGTTTATTTATCTTTATTATATTTATTAACACCATGTTGCAATCTACAGGTGCCAAATAATGCTCAAGCAGTCTGCATAAAATGTATTAAATGAAAGCAGAGAACATGGGTAGCTTAGATCTTTGCACGCAAAAGTGAAAAAGAACTTCCTGACTATTTTCATTGTAATTATTTTTAATCATTGTACTATATTCAGATATGTTTTTGCAAACTTTATGCAATCACAGTCCACTGCTGGGCATAGGCCACTCTCCCATTGCAAGCCACTTAGATTGATTTTTGGCTTCTCGCAAACATAATAGTTTAAACAAATTACATACCTTTGCCATGCACAACATTTAGGTCGTTGACATCACTGTGTATTAATCCTTTTGAATACCACTTTCTATGTAGAGGTGACAAGGGCAATACAAATGTGCTAGTTCTTGATGTATCTTTGAAGACATGTTTAGTTTGTAGATAGACTGATAGACCTGGAAATTATATTAAAATCATCACACACACACACATAACAACAGCATTCTAAAATTGATCTCTAACCTAATGGATTGTGTGATCGTGAACCGGTGTTGAAAGACTTTCTGCTGGACTTGCAGCATATTACTACTATGTGTCATGTACTTCATTTTCATCTTATTGTGTTGCTTGTGTTTATTATTTACTAATATAGCTATAAACCAAATTGTTAGTTGAGTTTTGTTACTTGATTGGCAATGAATAAATAAAATAAAAATAAACTAACAGACTAACAGGCCTATAAAATAATATGACAGACTATATTTTTAAATATTAGTCAGTTCACTACATTTTTACATTATTATAGCTTGCACAAGAATTATTACTAATTTATACTGTAGCTAGGTTCAGAGCCTGTTTCTAATATATTTTATTTATTATTTATTTATTTATTTATATCTTTATTGTTTACAGTTAACACATAAGAACACACATTACAAATATATAGACGTAACAATCGGCTACTACCGGTATCGGTACTATCTATTCATTAGTCAGTATTAATATTAAATATATTTTTCTCATTACTTGACATAATATCTTACTCTTAGCATCTAATACCAAACTAGGCTGAGACTACTATGGTAACCTATAACTTATATATTTCTAATTAATTCACACAGACCTATTTTGACTAATAATGAAGTTAGTCAGGTTATTAATGAAAATCTGTATTTTTTGAAAGAGTATACTGTGCAATAATAATTTTAAAATGTGTAATAGTAATCTAAAAAGAATAAAAGTATTTGATACAAAACTTACTGCAACAATGTTGATGTTTTGGAAGTAAGCTTCTATTAACACTATTATTGAATAAAATTCTTCTCGCTACAGTCGTTCGGGACACAATATTTTTACACACAAACATTTTCAGGACATGAAAATTACAGGAACAGGTTATGTTTAGATAGTTTGCCGCAAACTTTGAATGGTTATTACGAATTCTAAACTCTAAACAGCATGACTCTAGCACAAGATATTCTTGAAATAACTTAGGTTATACATGATAAACATAGCTTTTTATCTCTATAACTTTTAAAACATTTCGGTATTTCCCAGGTAATAGAGCATTCCAGTCATAGACAAACCTAAGAACGATTAATAGTTTTTTTCTTGTCATTTGTCATCAACTGCCAACTTTAGAAAGTGTTGCCAAAAAATAATTAAAGGAAATCTGTAGGAAATCTATTTCTATATTATCCTATTATTCTTTTTGACCATAGAAAATTATGTTCTAGTTTTTAGTTCGGCTAGTTACGACTTTTTTTTTTTTAAACTACTTATTATTTATTTTTGCTTTTTTTTCGTTTTTAATTATACTTATTGAAAGACTATGAAGTAACAAGTAAGTAAGTCACATACACTTGAGTACACGCTTTAATACGTGTCACAAGACACTACCGTATTTTAGATATGAGAAAAGACGTTAATCCTTAAGATCCTGATCAGGATAATCGGATAAACTTGTTAAATTATTGTTTTGTCATAGATTCTTGATCAATGAGTTCAAAGATTCCGTCACCTACCTGCATATATACAGATAAAGCTAAGAAAAGCGTGGTGAAAAGAGCGAGCCTTTCAGTGGTCGTGTATGACATTTAACGTTTGACATCTCACCAGCTATCTTTACGCCAAATCTAAGACACACGCTCATTGGTCAAAAAAATAATGAAATAATTCCCAGCTTCCCATCACACACACTCCAGGAAAGCGAGAGGTAAATTTCCTGCCCACTAAAACAAAAACCTCTCTCATGCAGTCCCTAATTATTCCTATAATTGACTATGGACCTAATTATTTGACGATGTGTGTGTTACTTCGACCTGAATGCAGACCTCCTCAATAAGCTAGACCGTCTTCTCAATAACTGCATTCGATACATATTTAATCAAGTATGACCATGTGTCTGCTTTAAGCTCCCAATTAAAATGGTTACCTATTCGCCTGCGTCGCAACCAGCGAGCATTAGACCGCAAAGAGAGAGGTCACTCTTTCCATTTCTCAACTCCCGATTTTCACCCACCTTCTTCGATCCCTACATCTTATCCTCTAATCACGACAGAAATCTTAGATCAGGTAATAATTTGCTTCCCTTGTGTCCCCTCTCCCAACTCCGACTTCCTGAACTCCTCGTTCTCTGTGCCATTAGAACTGCTCTGAAATGCGCTCCCACTCAAAATCAGGTTGTCCACAAACCGTTTCGCAATTGTATAATAATTGTAAATGTTGCTTAGTTATATTTTTAATATATATATTAATAATCAGTGATTACAATTGTAACCTCGGTGCACCTACCCTACATTTCTACACCACCTAAAGGTTGACTGATGGAGAATGCCCAGGGCATTAAGTTCACCGATGTACAGATGTAAGTGCATGAAGAGGTAAAATAAACAAAATGAGTCATACCTGCAATAACCGAATATTTGCAATTACTTGTAAATAAGTAATTGCAAATATTCGGTTTCTTCTAGCAAGGGAACCAATCACCCAACAACAACATAACAACCAACCAACCACATCTAACATTGTAAAAGTGTTTCTATAAGCTCATTTATTTGCTCGTGTAGTGTTTTTTATCAACTGAAACAAAATGGAATGACGGCGAAATAGATTTTAAAATGTTAGACTTATTATGATATGCGACTCTCGCTCGTGCGTGTGTTCAACTCGCAACTACCTTTTTACTCACCGGTACTAACACGCCGGGTTCGTGCTGGTGTGTAAAAAAGCCTAATTCTACCCACATATACCTAAAGAATTAAAATTCATTTTCTTTTAAAACTAATTGTTAGTTTTTTTTTCTACGAAGTAGTATAATTATGTACATCTAGATGTAACATCGGGCCGGCCCATTCTTGTGTAGACACCCTGAACATTTCTCGGACGGAAACGGACGGTTAAAAATTGATATAGCCAAACACAGTATCATCTGTTTTTCATGTTTATTTTAACATTTTTTTAATTGAAAAAGCAACCTAATGTTTAGGTAATTCTGAGTGAGTTCATCTATAGTTGTAATTTTAAGTAAGTATTTAGAAAATAATGGACGACCTTAAGTATTAACACAAAAAAAGATATTTAATTTGAATCCTCAACTGTCCTATAATTCTGAACTTTGACTCCATTCCCGTGCAGCTCATGAAAGGGGCATATAATTATGTTTCTCCTTTTCAAGGTGTATTCAATTTCCTGGTTACGTTCAGTTAAATTTGCTGTATTCCACGTCACCATACAAATTTTGTGAGCACACTAGGCTTTGCTGTGGCTTCGGGGTTATCATGATAACATGGTATGGATGCATATAAATGCATCCATACCTATTGCTTAGTCCTCCATATCATTAAAAAAATCTAGCCCGTATGATATTGCACCATAGTTGATGGCCACTGCAAGAGAGATGGTGAAGAGACGTGAAGAGACGAGAGGGTGGTCGTATGCTTCGGCATAAATGGGGTGGCTCGACCGGGGTAATACCACGGCCTCACAGAAAACCTATTCACAGAGAGAGTGACATTACAGTCGGCCCAAACCTATCGCTGATTCCGGGTGGGGTGAGTACTAAAGTGGCTTTAAACCACTTGTGTCCCTTGAGCTGCAGGTGTTTATAGGCAGCTGTCGCTTACCATCAGCTGAACCCTAGACTCCTTTGTTCATTGATTTGAGGGGTACAGATGGGTAGGGAGAAGGGTCTAAGATTAAGAACTCCTCCAATCAATCCTTCAATAAGATTACATAAGGAAGAAACGTGATTATTTAGAAAGACACGACACTTGTGTTCTTTTTAGTTTAGAGTTAATAATAATTATATATTAATAACGCGAGACATCTCACAAATGGCCGTCTGATTTCAAACTACATATATTTCTAAATACAAACATATTATAGATAAATTACAGACACAGAACAATTAATGATCGTGCTTATCATACAATATTAGTCCTTTGTGGGAAGCGAACCCACGACCTCTGAATTAGCGGTCAGAGTCTGTAACCAACAGGCCAATATTCCGATTTAAAACTCATTCTATCACCGGCTGTTATTGACGGGTCTATTGGTCTAGTGGTTGGTGACCCTGACTGCTGAGCCAGGGGTCGTAGGTTTCTTTATCACCCAGGAAACATAATTTAAAAAAAATTATTATTATTTAAAAAAAAAAAAAAAAAAATTATTATTATATTATTTATAAAGAATGCGATTTTATTCACGTGTTTATTTCGTGAATGCTCGACTAGCTTCCGACCCAGCAGTACGCGTCACTCCTTGAAAAAGTAGTTACCTTGGTTGTCTCGTAATCTTTGTACCGCCCTTACAAAAATTCGGCAGTCTGTAGGACATACACGATTGACTCCATACGTGTCCGTAAAGCAAAAGATGCGTTTTGATAGAGTTTTCCATAAATTAACATCATAGCAGGATATTCCGCGGCTGTGAAGGTCACTCACGGCATTATGGATGTTGATATCGATAACCCAATAAAATTAAAAGACTGAAAATGCACTCAGTTTCACACTACACTACACACAGAACCTAATAGTGACTTTTCAAAATAAAATTAGCAGGACTCCTTACATTACGAAGTCTTGCGCACACGATAACATTAATTGTTCACACCATTGCCGTGTATTATGACGAAAGCAATAAGACTAAACAATTATTACCACAAGAAAACTTCTCTAAACAAATATGTATCTCATAAACAACAACAATATTATTATTACGGTTATTTGTCGTGAGCGCATCTACAAGGATACGGAATAGCATAAGCTCGCCGGTGGCCAAGGGCCGACTGACTGTCCTTACTGGATGAACTAATTAAAAACGCGTGTTGCATCGTGATGACGTAATAATCAACATATTTCGTTCGATTCGGGTGCAGTAAAAGCGGCAACGTGTGCTTACCGCGCCGCGTATACCTACAGCTGATCGCCGCCTGAGGTCAATGTATTATGACTGCATGTACACATGATGTTGCAATTTACGAAACACAAAAATGAGTCCTGTGGCTAAACTACTGGATATATTTTGTTCATATTTTGCAAATCGCCTAGAAATTAAGGGCAGAATATGTGGCTTAAGTATTTGGGAAAGGAAATGAAACTCTCTGTATATACGTTGTTTATTATTTTTGACTGTCGTAGTCTGCCATATTGTGATTGTCATAGTAACAAAAAAAAAGTGTGTGTGTGCAATTCAAACACGGCAGAAGTGAAATTTCAGAAAAAAAATAATCTTAAAAAAACCCTATAAAGTTTCGCCCGGCCCAAGAATCGAACCCACTAAGACAGCGTTTTTCAAATTCGAAGTCGAAGTCGCGAGTACCAGCTATTATTAATTAAAAAGATAAAAATATTCACACTGTCCAAATATTATATTAAAAATAATGTGGAATGTATTCTATCTCATTCTCTCGCTCTATACATTTATGTGTATACATTTATGCTCTATACATTTATGTGTTTGTTTCTTTATCGTGACGCATTGTCGTTACATCGAGTTTCAAATCACAACGATTCACAAAGTCACTTCAAACAAGACATTGTTTTTTTTTGTCATAGGGGGCAGACGAGCAGACGGGTTATCTGATGGAAAGTGACCATCGCCGTCCATGAACGTCTGCAACTCAGGAGTCACAAACGCGTTACCGGCCTTTTAGGAAGGAGTACGCTCTTTTCTTGAAGGTTTGAAGGTCGTATCGGTCCGCAAATACCGCAGACGATAACCCGTTCCACAGATTGGTTGTGCGGGGCAAAGTGTCTCGAAAAGCGCACAGTAGTGGAGGGCCAACTATCCAGGTAATGAGGATGAAAATTTTGCCGTGTGGAACGGTGGTGGAAATTTGCAGCTGGTATTAGTCCGAAAAATTCCTCGGAGCACTCTCCATAATATATGCGATAGAGAATGCAGAGTGTAGCCACATCTCTACGTAACGCCAAGGGATCGAGCTGATCGGAGATATTTGGGCTATCGACGATTCGAGTCGCTCTTCGTTGGATGCGGTCCAGAGAAGCTGGTACTGAGGTACCCCTGCATACAGATGAGAACAGCATTCCATATGCGGCCGGACTTGCGCCTTATAGAACTGAAGGCGGTGGGCCGGAGTGAAATACTGCCTCGATCTGTTGATCACACCGAGCTTCTTCAAGGCCAATTTGACCTTACCCTCTAAGTGACCCCGAAACTGGATTTCACTCGATATGTCGATATATGTATTATATATGTATTTATATCAGTTGTCTAGTACCCATAGTACAAGCTCTGTTACTTTGGGACTGGATGGCGTCGTGTAAATATGGTACAATATTATTATTATTATATATTTATTCTGTGTCTGGGTGTAATTTATTAGCCTTCTGGTGACCATAATAAGGGATCAGACAGTCGTGTGTCAACTATTATTATTTATGATATGTAAAAATTGTTGTATAGAACCGATATTGCATGAGGTGTTTACGTATACCTGTTTGCTTTTACGCTATTGTTGCATGTATTTTCGTAAATGTATTATGTATTTTTAATGCGTAAACAGACGTTGGTGAACCTAAAAATAAAATAATATATATTTTGTATATAATAATATATACAAAATGTATACGCAGACACAATTATTACGGTGTATCTGTAGATTACTACTACTACTACTTCTGTGTAATGTCAGCTTTTTATTTCGCAGACCATTTATTTCTTTGACAATTTAGTAGGAAGTATAAGGAAAAAGTAGTATATAGATCGACGACTAAAGGATAGTGGCTGGCAGCGGCTGGACGCGGACTGCCAAAGACTTGGATAATTAATGCTCCTTGGGAAGGCCTTCGTTCAGTAGTGGACGGCGATAGCCAGATGGTGATAATGATAAGGAAAAAACTACCTTGCAAAAAGCAAAATCTCTTTGTGTATGTATTTGTAAATACTTTCCAAGAATATCAACGCACTTGTGACTCCTGAGTTGCAAGCGTTCATGGACGGCGGTACTCGCTTTCCATCAGGTAAAGCGTTTGCCCTCTACTCCATAAAAAAAAGTTTGTAGCTTCGCGTTTATCTTGCCTTCTTACTTAAACTAAGTATTTGCTATTACGTTATATGTATATGTCTGGGTATTGAAGGACATTTAAACGTAAAAAGTTATGTTATGTGCACAGTAACTTCGTATGTTAACATAAAATAATAATTATATCTTTGGTTAAACCCACTTGAATAATAAAACCGGTTGTATACAGTTCTTAATTTATTCTAAATCTGACTTTAAATAACCATCATGACATCACACATTCATCACAATCAGTTATAATGTAACTTGTAAATACCAAATATAGTTTTAAAAATTCGAAAAAAAGAACATTTGTTTATGATCTTTACTAATTAATATTCACAATTAGAATATAATCAAAATGTTTCTGCTTACATCACAGTAATTAATAAATAGTTACTTTGTTCACATTCAACAACGTAATCTATAATCTTCCGATAAAAAAAAAGTATCAAATAGCGTTGTTAAAACATGTTTTTTTGCTCTAAACTAAACATTTTAATGATTTAATGACTAGCCAACCACAACCTTTACAAAAGGATGGATGTGTCATTCCGTCATCATGTCACTTATGACGTAATTCTGCCAAATTATAGTTAATGTGTAAAATGAAACAAAGACATAAAAATGTAATTATTAATCATTTAGCGTGCTTAAATGCAATCAAGAGCTGGAATTCATGGCTGGGCCCTAATTCACCGAAATATTCCTAGCAATAATACTTAATGTCTCAATATACTGTAGGTTTAGAATAAATGCCACTAAATATCACAGTTGTCGTCGATTTCTCCATAACGAAGTATAAGAAAGGCCGGTTCGCGTAAAAGTACGGTGCCGATATCCTGTCGGCGAAAGTTGCCGTTGTCGCCGCCGACGCAATAGTGCCTGATTCTGTCACTTCTATATCAGCCTTATGTACTATAGCTGACACGAATATACTATCCTTGGATACGCGTTGGAAATCTGCCAAATCTGGTTGGAATATATCATAAACACCCATGTCGTTTAGAGGCTTGTTTAAAACAACATTCGTGCTTATATGGAATCTTGGCAATTTCACATCAACATCTTCAATACCATATGCATTAGCGTCATCTTGTAGCTTTTTGAACACATCCTTCAAAGTAACTTGAGTGAAATTCTTGTATACCTCATTGATTTTTACTGAAGGGTATGGCAGCATCACTAACATTGAGTACTTTCCGTTAGAACTATAAGGTAATTCAACAGCGAAGGACTTTAACCTCTGTATATTGGAGAACGCAAACTGTCCTTTCTGAAACATCATATTAACACTGCCAATAACTTCTTTATATTCATTGTAGAATGGTTCCAAAACCGTGTCCGATTTATTGAACGGTGAAGCCCACAATCCTTTGAAAGAAATCACGTTTGCTAATATCATTCTGGATTCACGGAAGTCATCCGATCTGAGAACATTGGACACACGGCCGCCTGATTTCTCGATGTACGTGTTCGCTATCCTAGCTGAATTCGGATCGTCAAAATCTAAAATTTTAATAGCAGCGCCAAAATCATTTTGCAAACTCGTTTTAAAGTTTTGGTAAACAGTGAAATCGTTGTCCAGAAACACGAAATTCTTGCTTATTAAGCTGACTCCGTTTGACTGCGTTAAAACTGTGCTCGTTAAATCTTTGTAGCCTTTTATTAATGTGTTTTGGTCGTAAGGCAGGAAGAACGCTGTACCGAGCTGCCTGTAACTGTTGCCCGTTGCTCCAAGTGCAATGCCAGTCATGAGGGTCCATATTCCGAACGGCGATATCACCACATGGCCGCCTGTGGCCAACTGTGTGTAGTACAACAGTTCCATACTAAAGTTCCTTGGTCTTTCATTGAATTCGATTTGACAATAACACACACCGATGAACAAAAATACAAGAGCGACGGACCTCATTGTGATCGCGACCGAGTCTCGTCACGTACTGAACAATTATAAAGCGAAACGGGAATGTGACTAATTTATAACTATTGTATAACGATGTAAATTCAACTTTGAGCATGTGAACTTAAAGACAATATTCGTGTTTGAGACACTTATGTTGTGTGGTGTGAAGACAGACGGAACCGGTATGGTTGGTGAGTTTTGTATATAGCTTTGTATTGGTCATGTTTGTTTATTAGTATATTAGGCTAGCTACACTGTATTTACGTGCTGAGTGGCAACCACTGTTCATATGTTTTAGAGATAAAATATCAAAGGTAAATCTACTCCACGAAAAACCTCTAGAACCTTGTCATATAAATGAAGGTAATGCGGGAATTCGAAGGCTAATACGGTTATCAGATAAAATTAAACTGAATTAAAGATGTTTTGCTTTCTATCTAAATTTATATCATAAAGAAAATTACCTATGATTTGTATGCGTAACAATTTGGCGAATGTTGGTTAGCCCGTAATTGGCAAGTGTGTGAGGCCTTACTACAATAATTGTATTTTATATACACGAACTGTGGGAAATACTTTAGATTTTTTTTCTAAGAAGTTTTATATGAAAGATATAAGAATATATATTTTATAATTTTTTTAAAATTCTATTCCAAAAAAGTATTCGTGTTTAGTAAACGTAATACTAAACTGCAAGTTAATAAATTAAAATGAACTTGTACACACAGTACAGTGTTTTTTTACCCAGCTACGACAGAAGGCGGGTTACGATACGAATGTATTATATGTACGAGTATATACCAACCTTTATTTCTTTGGCACGCTCTGTAGTAGAATGGCTTGTTGGATTTTGGGATTCGAGATGTTGTTAGATTCATCTTAATTGTAAGAATGGGTAAAAGAAAATTATAAAAATTAAAATTATTGGTTTTTAAGTATTAGGTATATACATACACTTTTATGCATAATTTCCCTCTTTTGCCATTTCCTTTGAAATGAGTTTTTTTCTTCCATTCTCTGCTATCACTGGTCAGTTCACTGATTACTGGGAGTTAGCTATGTCCTCTTTCACGCAGTCCATCCATCTTTTCTTTGGTCCATTCCATACTTAAAACTTTCTTCACTACGCTTTGTTTATCTCCACGCATCACATACATTTTCATGCATCCGGGATTTTTGTTTTATTTTTCAATGAGTAATAATCATTTTTAACTCATACTTACACTTACAGCATTTACGAGTAGAATAAAAATACAAATATAAATGATAATGAATAATATCGAGCACATAGGATAGGGTAATAAATAACTACAGTTACATTAAAAATATATATTTTTAAAACTAAAGTTTTGTTTTTCTTTGCACTTTTTCAGATTTATCATTTTGGTGATTCATTGTTATATTCACATTAGGTACAAAAGTCTAAGTCATGCAAGTGCATGATGTGTCATGGAAACTAAAAAAGAGACTAAGACGTTAAAGCCGACCTATTGTGGGTTTGTTCGTCATCCGCCTTGCATAATGATAAAGTCCAAAATGCATTGTTCAAAGAACCTCCTTATCGACACTAAACACCTTTAATAAGTCAGTAGTATTAGTGTGACTCAAGAAATGTTTTCTGAGTCATGCTATTGCGTTAAGAATAACGCCAAATCAAAGTTGATTCATCATCATCATCATCGCAGCCAAAAGACGTCCACTGCTGGACAAAGGCATACTTCAAGGTTCAACTACCGGTTCTATGCTGCCCGCATCCAACGGCTTCGCGCGGCTTTCACCAGGTCGTCGGACCACTTTGTGGGGGGCTTCCCACGCTCCATCTTCTGGTACGCGGTCGCCACTCGAGAACTCTTTGGTCACATTGGCCATCTTTTCTGCGAGCAATGTGCCATGGTTGCCAAACCACAGGCTCTGCCTTATTTTGGAATCAGATGGCCGTATGTGAGAATCGTTAAGTTTATTAAATTGTTTTATAAGGTATAAAAATTTTTTTTTTTAGGTATTTTAGCTAATCAAAGTAATGACCCAAATTATCTGTACAATTTTTCCATTATGATGGCAGTTTGTTTATCCGTTTACTGTGCTGTACTGTGAGCAATATGCTGGACAATATGTCTCCCTTTTACTAATATCTAAACAATTTATCCCTCAATCTTTTAAACAATATCCCACCTAATGCTTTGGTAAGTATTTCAGCAAGTTGGTTACTGATATTTATATATCTTAACTTAATTGTTTTCTTTTCAAGTTTTTTCTGTCTGGCATCTAAGCCATCTTGATAGTGGATGGGTTATCGTCGTAAACAGTTACATATGTTCACCTTAAACCCAAAGGTCAACATTATATCTTTTAGCCAACAAGCCTCACTCGTTGCTAAACACAAAGCAATATACTCTGACAACACTACAGTTGGCTGTTTCTTACAGAACCATATTACCGAGTAACCAATCACTTTAAAAATGCGCTTGTGACTTAAAACCTGCTATGCTCTCATCCTTCATCGGGCCACACACATCAGCATGGACCAACTCTAAAGATTTTTTGGTATGCTGCCTATAAAAAGGTAACCTGTGCATTTTATCTTTCACGTATGATACACAGTTGAAATGTTCTCCGGTATACTTAATGTTATTACTATTAAGCACTTGCTTTACGTTCTTGACACTCTGGTGACATAGTCTCTCCTGCCACTCAGTTAATGTTATAAACACTGCAACTCCTTTGTGAACCTCATTTGACACTTTGAGTACACAATTGTTGTTTTCACTATTACCTAAGCACACAGTAATTTGTATTTGTAATAAAGAAAAAGGTGTCAAAGAGCAGTTACCCACAGTGAAACTAAATAGGGATTGCATGTACAGAGCCAGAAAAAAACAATTTTTACAAAGTGAGGGTCCCGAAATACCAAGTGTGTTGAAAAAACATTTGATAGTATGTGATGATAACATACTGCAAAGAGAAGGAAAACTTTTAATAAACCCTTTTTTTTTACGTGTGGAAATCCCCTCGGACCGTCACCCCACCGGGGTTTGCGGCGGGGTGGTGTGTCGGACTCGGACCGACTAAAACCACACGGAGTGCCACTCTGCGCCTGTAACAGGAGACATCCGGACCCCTCCTAGCGCCTGCCCGCAAGCACCACCTTCGGTAAACTCTCTATTTAGGCGACGTCCGGCACACGCGGACGCCGCCCTCTCGCGGCTGGCATAACTAATGCGGGTGGAGGGGAAACCCACCCCGTCCACCCGCGGCCACACTCAGGGCGGCATGAGGCGCAGGTGAGCGCGCCTCACGGGTCCGGGGCCTTCTCCGCCGCCTCCTTCTGCGAGATTACTTCCTCGCAGAAGGTTGCGACCGCGGTAAAACAACTGTCGCTACCGGCCATTGAGCGCACTACGGCCGGTAGCGAGAGATCCACTCCGATGACTGCAGTGAGGGCCCGGCGCTGCGTCGCCCATGCGGGGCAGACCGCCAGCGTGTGCTGGGCCGAGTCCTCACTGCAGTCGCAGTGGTGGCAGGCGGGACTCAGTTCCCTCCTAGCGACCGAGTGCAGGTACTTTCCGAAGCAACCGTGCCCGGAAAGCACCTGCGTCAGCCAGAAGGTAAGGGTCCCATGCTGCCGCCCTGCCCACTCGGCGATGACCGGCTGGAGAGCCTCCACGGCGGCGAAGCCAGCGCGTAGAGTCTCCAGCCGGAACGACCAACGAGCCATCGTGGCTCGGCGAGCGGCTTCGCGCCACTCGCGCACGTCTTCGGGCGGAGGGCGAAATCCGCTCTCCGCCCGGGAGTCAGCCACTCGCCGATAAACTTCAGCGAGCACTTCAGCCTCCAAATCCCACGGGGGAGTTCCGGTCAACGCGCACGCCACCTCCGTCGAAACCGTGCGGTAACCGCGTATGGCTCTGACCACCATTACCCTCTGAGGGCGCCAGAGGCGTGCCCTATTCTGGGCGGTCAGAGCCGCCGCCCACACCGGTGCACCGTATAGTGCCATTGACCGGACAACCCCCGTGTACAGCCGTCTTGTCGCGACGCTGGGTCCACCCAAATTGGGCAAAAGTCGCCCTATAGCAGACGCAGCGCCGACCAGCTTTGGAGCAAGCTGTCGGAAGTGCTCGTCGAAGAGCCACCTCCCGTCGAGGATCAGTCCCAGATATTTCATCTGGGCCCGAACCGGTACGTGGACCGAGTTGACCACGATTGAGGCGCCAGGGGGTGGACCACGACGGGCCCATGAAATAACAGGGCCTCCGTCTTATCTAGGGACACCCGTAAGCCCAGCGCCTCAATGCGCCCGACCACCAGGGAGACTCCCCTTGTGGCCAGGCGCGCCGCCTCTTGGAAGTTCGCCCCCCGGGCTGTCACCAGAGTGTCATCTGCGTAACAAACTACACCCAGCCCGGGGGGGAAATCGGTTCGAAGGGCCCAGTCGTACCCTATGTTCCACAAGAGGGGTCCAAGAACAGACCCCTGTGGAACACCGCACGACATGGGCCGACACCTCAAATTACCCTCTCGGTCCTCGTACACGACGGTACGCTCCTCTAAATAGTCTGCCACTAGCCGCCTCAGGTACTTTGGCACCCCATGATAGTGGAGTGCTTCCCTGATGCAGCTGAATGGCAGACTATTGAATGCGTTGGCGATGTCTAATGACACCGCCAACAGCACGCCGCCACAACTCACGGCCTCTTCGGTCACGGCCCTCAGGCGCAACACAGCGTCGACTGTCGAACGCCCCGCCCGAAAACCAAATTGGGCGTCCGACAGATCGGGGCCCACCTCGTAGAGGTGCCGGACGATGCGGGCAGAGAGAACCCTCTCAAACAATTTACCCGCCTCGTCCAGCAGCACGATGGGCCTGTAGGCCGCGACAGAATCGGCAGGCCGTCCCGGTTTCCTTAATAGGAACAGCTTCCCGCTCTTCCAGCACTCAGGGAAACGTCCCGACGCCAAGCTAGCGTCGAACACCTCCCCGAGGCGGTCTGCCATGTGGTTGAGGGCTA